GTAGGCACTATATAAATATTAGCTATTATTATTAAATTTTTTAAGGAAAGATGTTCTTTTGAAAAAATAATTCAAATTAATTGGTCTAATGCACTATATTGAGTGATGCTAGTTTTTCCCTGCCATGTTCAGAAATTTATTTAGTAACATAAATATTTAGATATTTAGATATAACCTTAATCACATAACAAAAATATAATAACAGTAACAGTTAAAAGCATAAATGACTTGCCCTGTTTAACTCAAGGCAAGGTCAGTAAAACTCTGAAATTTTGCCTGGATATTTAATTTGAAGAGTCAGTTTAAGTTTGCTTTAGAGACAATGCTTCAGTGCAATCAATTCTACCTGGCCAGATAGGTTTTTATGGTGATGGGCCTCTGTGGGAAAGTGTACATTATTTTCTGAATTATTCTCCTATTGAGGCCTCATTATTTACTATGATAGAAATCGTTTTTGCCGCCAAAGAAAAGCTGTCCTGGTGGTATCCTTTGTGTTGGTAGAGTCAAAAAAAAGTCTAAACTGAACGGCAAAGATGAACCAAATTCTTCCCAGTCATGCGATGTAAAGGTCCTTCATAGAAATCAGATTTTAGGGTCAGAAGGTCATCTAATCCAAGCCCCTTTTGACAGCCAAGAACTCTGAGGCTTCCAGAAGTTTACTGACTTACCTAAGTCCACAAAGCTGGTCAGTGCAGAGACGGGTTGTGGTTGTGATTTGTCTTTCATTCTTGAAGAGGACAATGACATCAAGAAGATGATGACATGACTTGCAATTTAATTGGATTTAAGTGAGGGAGGGCTGTGCAAAGTCACCAGCTTCACTTTCTCCTCCAGAGACATCTAGGTCTAGTGGCAAGATATAGATCAGGACAAGTGGAGATGGCTCTAGATGCAGTGGGAGACCTTGGCCTTTTCAAGATAAGGTCTTTCTGAGTTCTCACTTTGATTGAGGTAATACCCATTCAGTGATAGTCTGTTTAAGAAGTGAGTCAAGGGATGAATCCTTTAATAAAAAAAATAATAATCTGAGAGAGGAAGACCTTCAGGGTTGCAGGCCAAAAGAGAAACAATTACTATTTACATTCATTCTGAGCCAGGAGGGCCCCAAAATAATCATTAAGTGGTGATGGGACAGGGACCTATTGTCCAATCAATGAAAACCAGAGTGAATTGGTTTTAAGGCATGGTCTTTAAGAAAGAAATCTAGCCAATAAACCCCAAGATTACTAGGAAGGTTACAGACATCAAAATTGACCTTCCTCTGGGCAGAACACCCTTAGGTAAGAGTATGACACTCCATGTGGTCAGAGGGGAAGGGAAGACAGGAGAGGAGAGGAGAAAAGAGGAGAAGAGAGGAGAGGAGAAGAGACAAGAGAGGAGAGGAGAAGAGAAAGAAGAGGAGCTGAGTTGCCCAAATGGGACTGGCCAGCTGGGTCCCCACTGGGGCAGCTCAGACTACTCTCAGGTTGTGGTTTGTCCTTCATTCTTGAAGAGGACCATGACATCAAGAAGATGATGACATGACTTGCAAGTGAATTGGATTTGAGTGAGGGAGGGCTGTGCAAAGTCACCAGCCTCACTTTCTTCTCCAGAGCCATCTGGGTCCAGTGGTCCGATATAGATAAGAATAACCGGGTTAAAACTTAGATGTCCTGAATCTCAGGGCACCATATACTAACTCCCAGACTTCTGGTCACACAAACTCTTCATGATCACTGACTTGAATATCGAATTGTGTGAGCAAGAAGGAAAAGTGGGGATAGAGAAAGCAGGCATCGATGAAAATGAGGGGCTTAGCATTTGCAAAAACTTTTTTAGGAAAGAACTTTAACTTTGGGAATAATTGGACCCATGATGCCAATCAGTCAGTAACAGGAGATCATAAAAGGTTACCAACGGAGTGTTTCTTCCTCTTTAAAAAAATTAAAACACTTTTTAAAAGATTCAGTAAATTCTTCTAAGGTACAGATTAGCTTTTCCATTTGGATCTGAAACTTATTTCAGTACCACAAACATAATTAGACAGAGGCATAGATAGATATAATCTTAACTATAGTCAATATAAAATATTCCAATAAGGTTATTGCAACAATGACTGGAAAAAATACTTCAGCAATGCATAAATTCTGAGAACCTTGTTCCATTTTTCAGTCGTGTCCTATTCTTCATGATCCCATTTGGGGTTTTCTTGGTAAAAATACTGGGATGGTTTGCCATTTCCTTCTCCAACTCACTTTACATATAAGGAAACTGAGGTAAACAAGGTTAAGTGACTTGCTCAGGGTCACACAGTTAGTAAATATCTGAGGCCAGATTTGAACTCATGAAGAGTCTTCATGACCATAGCTCTGGCATTCTATACAATGTGCCACTTAGCTGCCCCATGAGTATCTTATTAAAAACTCAGTTTTCATGAAGACTAGAGACAATATATGTAATACCAAAAGTGGTGTGCAACCGGAAATCTTAGTTGAAATTTTGCATCCAAAATTTATTTATGGGACCTGGGACAAGTTATACTGGGTCTCAGTTTCTTCATCTGCAAAATAAATATAATAACCCTTATACTGCCCTCCTCTGAGGGCTTTTGTGAGGAAAGCAGCCTGCAATCCTAGGCACACCCTAGCTATTATTATGATGACTTCTTTAGGTTTACATTTTGTTTTCTGTAAAGTCAATCTTTCAGGAAAGCCTCTATTCTTCCTATTGAGGCATATTTGTATTATAATGGGCCTTTTGGGGAACAGCCCGATTATTTTTTAATCATTTTTCTGCTAAGGCTTCAATCAATCGATCAATAAAGTAATTTGTCACTAAAGGGAGAAAGAATTGGCATTGTTCCAACCTCTGGGAAATATAGGTGGACTTAATGCAAATGAGAAGAGTAAAATAGAATTCTGAGATGGACTGACTCCTCTATCGTAGGATGTATTTTTCTAAAATCATAGGATTTTACAGCCAGAACACTGTAATCCAATCCCTTCATTTGACAAGTAGGGCAATCAGTTCAGCTCTGTAGAGTGGGCATGCCTCATCCAAGGTCACAGAACTTTTTGGTGCAGCGCTGGGTTTAGAATTCAGACCTCCTGTAACCTGAATCACCCCTTTCATTATACTTACGTCTTCAAATATTCCATTAATTTTAGGTAACAGAGACCTGAACTACTGCGCTTATTAACACTTAGGAAAAAAGTACGTGGAGAAAATTTAGCAGGGTGCAGGGATACCAATGAAACTAAATATACATATTCAAACTTGTCTGGGAGATGAAATATTTATGTCTGATAACAAATCATTTTTCTACTAGCCAGATACCCAAATGGGAGATCCAAAAAGATGCAGATTAAACAATTTCTTTAAGTTTAAAAAAGAAGTATTTAAAAATAAAATCAGTTCTTTTTAAACAAATTAAGAATTGATTTTTCTCAAATAAATAAACGGTCGTCTTGTTCGGTGGAAGTGTCTTTTGAACTTTCACATTTGGACTCAAAATTTGCTTGGCAATACAAATACAACACATGGGTTTTCCCACATGATCTGTTACCTAACAAGAAATAGAAAAACCCAGTCACCAAATTCTAGAAGGACCTTAGTGAATTTGGTAAAATCTGAAGATTCCATATGTGCATTACCTTCAGGTACTCAATATGTTATCTGTAGGGCCGATTTTCAAGACCTTTCACTCTGTCTATTGAGATTTTAGCACAGTTTGTTCCAATGATCATCATTTTAGCATTTATATGATATAATCATACCTCCTCTATATGGTTACAAAAGTATGCTATGACATTGTTCAATCACTCATCTTAATATTTGAGCCCATGGAACTCATTACCCCCCTGTAACATCATTTCACTCAACATAGTGTTTCTAAGAAGCCAAAAAATTGGTGGGATGATATGGATGTAGATATAAATGACTATAGGTCCTCACACTTTATTTTCTGAATTACACGTCTGCTGAAGCAGTTGTTGACAAAATTCACATGTTCTGGTATAAACGGAATAATTTGTTATGGTCATACTTATATGGAGGGTAGTGTTACTCATTTTGATAAAAAACAAAATAGGAAGAATTAATCCAATTGACAAGAGTTATATGTAAATCTCAGGTGGACTAAATCCATTGTCATAGGAGTTATTTTCTTCTATTTAAAGAAAAATCACAAAATTTCGGGATTTTATAGTTTGAGTGTTTTTGAATCTAAGTTCTTTAAATTTTTGGAAGAAGAGATAAAGCCCCCAAAAGATGAAAGTTACCTGGTTCATGAAAGTCACCTGTAGATCTGAAAGGAGAACCAAGATCTTCTGAGCTCAAGGTTGATCTTCCCATTATACTAGGCTTCCAAATGCACTTTTATACATACTCCTTCTATACATTTAGACCACAAACACTGTGATTATTGAAATAATGAACATGGGAAAAACAAACACCCAGGATAAAGTTACCAAGTATACTCTCATCAATGGACTATTAGTGTTTATGAAGAAATTCTCCATTCTGAGTTAAGAGATCTGCTTTGTAGCCAATCAAATGAACAGTGAACTGGAAAAGGTGTAAAAGAACCAAGAATAGGGCTGTTAGCTGGAAGGGACCATTTAGATCATCTAATCCAATTCCTTTTATTTTAATGACGAGGGAACTGAAGCTCAGAGAAAGGAAGTAATGTGTTTGAGATGACATAGGCAGTAACTGGCAGATCAGTGATTCGAAAGAAATCCATGGTCCTTGCCACTGCATCATTTCCCTTTCATTAAGGAAAGACTTAAAACTTTTGCAAAATCCCATTGACAGTCCCACTGTTGGATTCAAATGGCTCTCTGAACATCTCTGTTTGGGTCTGAAAGTTTCCCCACTAGCATAAATACAATATACACACAGATATAGAGCTATTCTCCTAACCACACAGCACACAAGATAGTAAGGTCAATCACAAACTTTAAAATAACATATCCTAAGACTCCGTAGAGGAAGGCCTTGGTGAGGGCAGCACTGTATGCTCATATCTCATTCAGGCACTTACTATAGGATTTCAGATTCATCTTCTCAGGTAAGATGATGTTAATGGTATGCTCATCACCATTACTGTACCTGAGAAGCAAGTTCTTTTTTTTACGAAGGAGACGGCTGTACTTGGCATTGGAAAGCCACACCTCACACTTGTTGAAGAACACAATGCTGACAGTGCCCAGGACAACTAGGCATGTCAGCACCCCCAGGATGGTGAAACAGATGGCCTGGCTTTCATTAAGCAGAGGTTTACTGTTCTTGGTCAGCTCCCTCATGGTGATTTTCAGCATTCTGTGGTTGGGTTGATGGGTGGCAATCCTGCCCTGAGTCTCAGGGGGAAGTCGGTCAGGCAGCCCAGGACCCCTCTTGGTCTTGGTTCCTGGGTGGCTATGGTTTGGGTGGCCATGGTTACAAGTGGGCCCAGAGAATTCTGGTCTACAGAGGCATTCAAAGCCTCCTCTGGCATGAGGCACACAGGTACCCCCGTTCTCACAGGGACCGCTGGCACAATGGTCCCCCACACGTCGGCTGCAGGTCTTGTCCATGAACCCCAGTGGGCAGCGACAACGGAAGTCTCCGCCTATATCAGTGCACATACCTCCATTCTCACATGGATTTGGGACGCAGCTATTCATGTCGAGTTCACAGAAGTTGCCAGAGAAGCCCTCGGGGCACAGGCAGGAGGTATAGGAGGCGAGCCCATTGTCATCGATGCAAGCTCCTCCATTCTGGCAGGGAGAGCTAGGGCACAAGGTGAACAGGTGAGAAAGGAAGCTACGACATGGAAAGAAAAGTAAATCTGCAACAGAATTCCTTGTGTATTTTGAAAACAATTTCACAGAAGGCTGGCATGGTTCTTTTCAGGGCAGCTAGATGGTACAGTGGATAGAATGCCTCTCCTGGAGTCAGAAGGACCTGAGTTCAAATCCACCCTCAGCCACTTACTAGCTGTGTGACCCTGGGCAAGTCACTTAACCCTGTTTGCCTCAGTTTCCTCATGAGCTGGAGAAGTAAATAGTAAACCACTCTAGCATCTTTGCCAAAAAAAAAAAATTTAAAAAACCCAGATGGGGTCACAAAGAGTCTGAAATGACTGAAAAACAACAAATGGTTCTTTAAATTTTTCAGAGACTCCTCTGTCACAGAAGAATAGAATGTCATAATCAGAAGGGATCCAACCCTTTACAACCCCAATAATTCCCTCTGCAACAGTTTCTCACAAGTAGCCTTCTAGCCTCTGTTTGAAAACCTCCTGGAAAGGGGGAGTTCACTATCCCGCAGAAGCCAGCCATTTCTCTGTTTGTGAGAAAGTTGTCCTTATATCAAGCTGAAATCTGCCTCTCTGCCACATCTACCCATTATTCCTGGTTCTTTCCACTGAGGCCAAGCAGAATAAAACTAATCCTCCTTCTTCATGATGACCCTTTAAATATTTGCAGACAACTATCATGCTTTCTCCATTTTAAATACCTACAATTCTTTCAATCAATTATCATATGGCCTGGTTGCATTCTCCTGAACGTACTCTGGCTTATTTATGTCCTTGCCTGATGTGAGCAGAAGACAATGGGACCATCATCTTCCTCGTTCTGAATATTATACCTCAATTGTTGCAACCTAAGATCCATCATTTTTTCTGACTGCCTTGAGAAAACACAAAGAAAATGTCCTCCAAGAGGCATATAGTACATACATTTTGGGGGGGAAGGGGAGAAGGGAATTGGTTTTGTTTTGTGTTGCTTTTTTTTGATGAGGCAATCGGGTTTAAGTGACTTGCCCAGGGTCACAAAGCTAGTAAGTGTCAAGTGTCTGAGGCCAAATTTGAACTCAGGTCTTCCTGACCCCAAGGCCAGAGCTCTATCTACTGTGCCACCTGTCTGTCCCTTGGGAGAAGGGAATTTGACATGATTTATTTAGGGTTCTTTTTTAATGTATTGACACCTTTTGTTTTGATATTACCTACATTTCCCAATATATTCCTCAACCTTACTCTTCCAGAAAGCCATCACTCATAACAAAGAACAACAACAACAAAAAAAAAAAAAAAAACCAGCACAGCAAACGTTACCAACAGGTCCAAAAATATCTGATGTTATATTTAGTGTTCCATACTCATAGTCAAGGGTATACTAATAAATGTTTAACAACCAGCTCTTTTAAAGGAAAAAATGTATATAAACATGACACACTTATAAGTTTAACCTGCATCCCTGCCATTTGCTCTGTCACTTTCATAAGTCTAGCCAATCAACAAAACAATACATCAAGCCCTGATTTGTAGCATTTGCTGATTTCTGAGGTTTAAATGCTCACTCTGAAGATTTAATAATCAGCTTTTCAGAACAAATATGAGATGGCTTTGACACACTCCCTCCACATTCCACTACATCTTCAAAGAAGGAGGCGACCAGGCAGGTAGCATTATCTACCTTTAACAGATGAAATCAATGAGGCTCAAAGAGGGTAACCAACCTGTTCTCTAAGGTTGCACAGAAAATGAGCAGCAAAACCAGGACTAGAATCCAGGTCTCCCAGCTCTCAGTATTCCTTCTACGCCACTATGCCACTATGATGGTCATTGTTTTCTCTCTCTCCCCATTTCCTCACCATAATAAAAGAGGCAGTGCATAGTACATGCAGTAAATAGAGGCATGTGCCTGGGGCCTGACAGAAATTCAATATGTTCAGCTTCTTCAGTGCTTAGCTACTTCTCTCCAAGGGAATGGAAGGGAGATATGCCTAGAGCACATCTGTGGCAGGCAGGCAATGTTGTTCTTTGAGCTTTAGAAGATGGGTGAGGGAACAGAAGTACAGGCTTCATGTGGGCAGCGATCACAGACACATGAGTCATAAGGAACCTAAGAGAGTATCCAGATCGATCCACCATTTCACAGATGGCACAAGCATGGGAAATGGCTTGCTTGAGAACACACAGGGAGACAGTATCAGAGTCAGAATTCAAATCCAGGGACTCTGGCCACCAGACCTAAGGACTGGATTGAAGGTTGCAGCTCCAAATTCTGCACGATAAGCCAACCTCCTCCACAGCCAGAGCCCTGTCTATGGGATCTTTATGTCCTTTCTAGTCTCTGGGATCTCCAGAGATGCCAAAAGAAAGACCAGATCAGTGGAACTCTGAGCAACCGTGTGATGAAAATGATTACAAGGCTTTGGCTTCCCCCTCATTCTAGTAATGCTTGTTCTCTCTCTCTCTCT